TATGAAACTTGTTACCTTTGGCAGCTGTTGGTTAATGCCAGGATTCTACAGACAAGGTAAACAGGTACTTTTCATAAATCTTGTTTAGTCTGATGAGGGGCATGATATACCCAGATACTCAGCTCACTAAAGCTTTTTCTGGTCTTTAGCATTAGGTTTTCTTTCTAGTTTTATCACTTCTAGTATTTCATGACTTCAAGTCATCCAAGTTTTGCTGCAACTAATAAACCAAACTTCTTAATTTTTTTTCTTTGAAGTTTAAGTTCTTCTTTTAATCTTCTTTTTCGTTCCATCTTGTCACTTCAATCCTCAAAAGTAGACTGAAATATCTCCAAATGAGATCCAGTCAGAGATATGGTGTGTTTCACAACATGTACATCTTGTTTTTTTAAAAAATGAAGAAAAGCAGGGTGATTTCCTTTGCCAATTTCCAGGCATCAACAGTCAACATTTCTATCGGAAAAAACATGTCATAGAGCTCATAACACATCAACTAAATACATCTTGTTAGGGAAACCACAAATGAAGTAGAATAAAGCAACAAAATAAACTTCCTCACATATGATACACTTATGCAGAAGATATATTCATTCCTGAGCAGGCTGTCAAATATCAATTGGTGGTCAAGTAGGCGAGAGGGCGGAAGAAAGAATTTAAAGCCGAAAACCTTACTGACTGAAAAAGGCACAAAACAAAAAAACCAAAACACTAAGGACATTAGAGATAAAAAAAAAAGGCATGAGAACCATTTTCAAACTGAAATTGTTTTACTGATCAAAATGAGTATTTGGTACTGATAAAATTGATTATTAAAGAAGCAACACAGGATGCTGAGGAGTAAATTTCTCTTCAGCTATTAAAGACTGAAGATTAGGTTGAAAAAACTGTTTGAAAAAAAGACACGTTTATCTCTTTAGAATCTTTCCTTCCAATGCCTTCACATATACAGTACATAAATCGGGATGCAGAGTCAATAGGAATTCAACTTAGAAGATAGTTCCTTTGTTTTTATTTGTACTCCTTATATTTCAATATAATCTTTAAGACTGGCAAAATGATCTGTCACAAGTATTTAATGTTGAGATTTTGGAGTACCTTTCTTTCACAGGATTTGTGAAATACATTCTCATCTGTTTGAATGCAGATACATCACCACAGAGGAGACAGTGCATACAATTTACAAAAGAGGTTTGTAGTAAAATTTAGAGATACACAACAATGCATGTCTCAATATACAATACTAACCTGGAACGTAGGTGCAAGGTTTTCAAACTGTACATGTATTTTTAAAAAGATAGCCTTTTAAAATGTTTATGTACTGAAGCATTTCCATTAAGATCCAACACTTATTAAAAACAATGAAATTATAGCAGCAATGTGGGAGAGCATCTAAGCCACATTAACATTAATAATTAAAATAAAACCAAATATGAAATATTACATTACTCAAATGCTTGTGTAAGATATCAAGGATAAGTAACAAACCAATTACTTATGCCAAACCATCAAAGAATCTGAATTTGTTCACTGTATGAACAATACTGTTGTACAGTTCCACCAAAGTTACCATTTTAAAAGAAGTGTTCAATGCTGACTTGCACCACCACCATTCTGGAGTGCTTCCTGGAGAATTCACTTGAATCTTTTAGTCCAAGGCTGACCATGATCCTTTTTGCATCTTTGCTGTAGGAACTAAGGATGCTTTAAATACAGATTCCTTAAAACTAGGCTTATTTTATTTACACTATTTGAAGTTTACCTCTCCTTCCAACAACAAAATGTGCAGGAGGATTTACTACATGCTATACAATGTAAAAATAGATTTTAAAAAGCCAGAACACTGTGAGTAAAACTGTACAATTTTTGTTCCCTGCTCCAGTTCATTGCACTATGAAGTTAAAATGGATGAGTTGTCATGCCCAGAAGACTTACTGTAGGATTAGAAAATCCACGCACACACAGAAGAGGTAAATGCATACTGGTTTAGGCATAGTGTCAAATGAAAAAATACTATGAGTTATATCCACGAAAAGCTTCTCATGAAAGGAAGGAGCATGGCTAATTCTGAAAGGCAGCCCTCTTCATGTAGGACACAGAACTGCAAAAGAACCACAAACACATTTCAATAAACATCAGTGAAGTTAGCCTGTATAAAAATATACTGTATATACTAAAATACTTAAATGTTGAATTCTACCCTATTAGTAACACGGTAAAATCTAGAAATCAGTTAAAACTGGCAATTAAGATATCATTCTCTTCTCAAAAGATAATGAAGTCACACAACCCCACTATCTTTAACTAATATTTTCCAGAAATGAGTTAACTAAAGGTCATGTCTTAAACAATGCTTTTTGAGGTGCTCTATTAGAAAACAGAACATTAAATAAAAGGTGATGCATGCAGATATAAAAAATATACACTGACAATTTGAGATTCTAACTCTACTTTCTATTGCTGGTGTGTCTACTCGAATCACACAGTGGGACGATAAGACATGTCCTTCAAGTGTTTCTCATTCCTGTTTCACATGTAAGACACAAACCTCAGAGCAATCCAGCTTTCAAACCAATGCTAGCACAACACAAAAGCAAATAAAGAAGTCAGGTGTAACAAACAGAAATTCCAAAGGCAAGAAGACATGTGTTCTTATTATCCAAAATACTTGCATAATTTAAGAATAGAACAAGGCATAAATCCTTGCTACATTAAAACAGAAACCTGAGGTTTCTTTTAAGTCTTTACTAGAAGCTTGGAAGATCAGATATGAAACAGCAAAGCAAGCTGGAAGATGAAAAATCATTCTCTTTTCATCACATCTACAATGAGAAAAAAGCCTAGAAGAAAATAATACTAGACACATTCTATACATTTTACTTAATAGCAATGTACAATATACTATTTTTACCACTGTATTTTTATGTCACAATTACTGTTTAAGGACAATTGGAAAAGAACACAAAGCTTAGCAATAAATACATCTTAGAACCTCTAAGGACATGTGATTTCAAAGGCAATTACTTCAGCTATAAATACGTACACGTATATTGCTACAGATAATAGTTGTGTGTTTTAAGAATGTCAATTACACTTACATGTATTCTCGAATTAAGAAAAAAATAATCTTGCAGGGATACAGAGAATTATTTATTCAGCTTATCATATTGGTAGTATGTTATATTAAAAAATTAACTCTATACATGGAGTTATATTTCAAATTTTTTAAAAACTGGAAGTAAAACCCAATAATCTTGAAATAACATGTCTAGATGTGATGCCAGACACCCTTTCCCTAATATTTTGAATCTGTGTATAGCTAGAGTTTAACATTTCATATATATTAATGTGTATATAAATATTCATATCATAAACGTATCATCAATACATACAGATTTGTTCTGTAAGCAGCTACATTAAAGAAGTCCGGCAGACTTCCTCTGATATTCCTCTTGACCTCTGTAACCGCAGAACTAGGTAACTCCCCTTCCCACAACATCTTCCTCAGCTTTTACTTTAAATTTGCTATGAACTCCATCCCAGCAGATCCTCCCTATACTGTTCCTCTGTCCTTGTGCCCTCAGATCGATAGGAGCTACTGTAAGAGTATTCACCGGGAAATGAATACTAAAAAGCCACCTGGGCAACCAGATGTTGGCTTTTCAAAGCCAATGGCCTTTAGATGAATAGAAACAGTGGTTTCAGTTCTACCGAGATACAGTTCCCAACAGCATTTCTGAAATGCAGTTATTCCTGCAACCTTTCTCTCTGTCTTGTGGGGTTGAAATTGCCAATTACTATTTGTGAGGCTGAAGAGGCAGAAAACACAACGGTACAGAGGCAATTTCTTCAGAAAGCAACCTAAATTTGCACGCTTCAAGGATTACAGATGCTACTACTTGTTGCATTATTGTACATACAGTACACTACATTATGGCAAATAAACCACAATGCAGAAATTCATTACATCACAGATGCAAGAAGAAAGACTGAAAGTTTCTGTAAATAAATAAATAAAAATAATAATAAAGAAATCAGTGGGTATAGCCAATGCAAACATGCTTTCATTTAAGGTTTTGGTACCTATTCTTGTTATGACACCTGAAAACAATACAGTTACAACATACAAGGCAAGGGATACTGGTAGCTGGGAGCATTTATTGCCATATGAAGCCTCACTGAGGCTTCGGGCCAGAATCTTTAGCAGCAGAGGAAGAGAAACAGATTACAGCTTCAGAAACAAGTGGAAGACTTTGCCTGTTCACAGGATAAAAACCACATGACAATGTAACAGCAGAGTTATAAATAACAATAATCTAAACACAGCGATGTGAAGCTTAGTTAGGGCTACACTGAAAAGTAAATTTCTGTGCTCACCAGCTTGTATGACTGCTTGCCATTGTGCAAAGAGACCCACAGAAAAACAAGAAAGACTCAGTTCTTTCAGTATGAGCGATGCGAGTGCTTACTATTCATACTCCCATCATTTGGGGTTTACAATATAGAGACAATAGTGTTTGTATATGATGACTTGTGTGATCCAACATATTTAATGCACATGTGATGTTTTTGTAACTCTTGTATCTAGCTAGTAGAAGATCCCTGGTGATTTTGAAGTCACAGGCATGCAGAGGTAGGAGGGAACCTTGGTATCAAGCTTCCCAAGATTATCTTGTCATATCTTCAGCTAATCTACTTTTATAAGCCTTCTCCGCAGAATATTTTTCCATTTCTCTAAGCAGCTGGTTTCTTCTCTGTAGCCTAGTAATCTGAAAGCTTTGCTGGATAGCTATGTCTTAAAGAGCAGATGCTGTAAAAAGTACTATTCATTCCAATCAGTTTCTACCAGATGTATTATGATGAAGAGCAAAACAGCTTTAATTATTAACAGTACATCCTCTTGGGTAAAAGATTCTGCTTCACAAAACTAAAGCTTAGTGCCATCACCATTAAAAAACCCCTTTGATCTTGAGCCTAAACGGCTCTCAGCTCCTAAGCAAATACATCTGTCTAATTTAAGAAGGATTTTCAGAAAGGGTAAGTAAACAATCTGAAATCAAAGGAAACAACTGAATGGATCTCTCCATTTTTATTCTATGTGGTAGTTCTTCAACACAAAGCTTAGTAATGAGCCTCTTCTGACATGAAGTCTCTTGGAGCTTTTAGAATACTGCATGGCTGTCTTTTTCAGATTTTCTGAATCACAGAATCATAGAATTATTTGGGTTGGAAGGGACCTCAAAGATCATCCAGTTCCAATCCCACTGCCATGGCAGGGACATGTCCCAATAGAACAAGTTGCTCAAGGCTCCATCCAGCGTGGCCTTGAACACTTCCAGGGATGGAGCATCCACAACCTCGCTGGGCAACCTGTTCCAGTGCCTCATCACTCTCTGGGTAAAGAACTTCTTCCTTATATCTAGTCTAAACCTACGCTCTTCTAGTTTCGACCCATTTCTGTCCACAGGCCCTTGTAAAAAGTCCCTCCTCCCCAGCCTTCTTGTAGGCCCCTTCAGGTACCAGAAGGCTGCTATAAGGTCTCTTGGTGCAGCCCAGGATACAGTTGGCTTTCTGAGCTGCAAGTGCACACTTTTGGCCCATGTTGACCTTATATCCTGTTGCTTTAGAATGGTGGATTAAATTTCATCCGCAACTTTATCTTGAAAGTACTGAGCTCTGTGAGCTCAGAGCAATTAGAAGTCTGTGTAAGAAATACAAAAACCCTACAAAATCATAGAGAGGGAGTTAAATGATTGCATCTGAAAAATTAGTGAGACTTGGAAAATGTGATCCCCAAAGAAGATAAAAATTTTGCAGTGTATGAACATGAAACAACGTAAGATACATTTGGTGGCAAGTAAAAAGGCATCCATCACCCTTCTGCACACTGGTTTGTTTAGATCTTGGGAATTTGATGCATATGCTAAACCTTAAACAGAGAAGATAGTACCATTTGTATGCTAACAATGAAGCAAGACCATAAGCATTAGTAAGATTTAGGCAAAAATGAAGTCAGAAGAAAAACATTTAAAATTAATTTAACAACCTGGAAACTATCTGGAACAACTCCTTAAAACTAAAACAAGCAGTGATTTTCAATGCTGGACATTCCATGAATATAACAATGTATAAGACTGGAAAACAAATGACTCATATACAAACCTTTTAAAGAAAACATAAAGATGGTTTAACAAGTAAATGTAAACTCAGTATTTTTTACTATTGATGAGAAGGTAACACTTAAAATGAACCTATAAACACTTCATCTTGCAAATGCATTATCACCATAGGCAGTTTGAATTCTGATCCTGAAAAACCTGCGCAACACAAGTTTTTAACTATACTCGCTTAACTTTGTAAGCTAGACTGCTCTGCTCCTGCTGATATCCTTCAGCTATTTGAATACGTACCACACACTTTGCTCCATTATACTATCACAAACAAAATAAACGTTTTATTTACCAACTACATGCTCAGAAACCTTGGACAAAATAGAACAAAATAGAAATGAGAGCTGTGTTTGGCAGAAGGACAACATAATTTACGAATTTTGTAGGACTACTCTTTTCAAATATACCTTCCATGTACATTAAGCTTATGCAGAACAAAAACTAAACTCTAAGAAACTCTAAAATACTTACCCTTTAAAATATAGTCTGTTAACAAGCTTGGCACTTTCTCGCTATCCTCTTTCATGGCATGCAGGACTAAAGCATGAAAAAACAGAAATGAGGAACTTGTCATAAATTAAGGATGACATTCTCAAAAAGAAATACTACGGAGCTGTTTCAAGTACTCACAGGGATATTACTGCCAAATTAGTAAGAAAAGTCTTAACTGGAATATGAGAAGATACAGTGAGACACATTATAACTCCACCACTCACTTACACGATTCTCACCCAACTTCACAGTGGATGCACACAAGAGACCCATTTTACATCGCTAATTATTACAGTAAAATGTCATCAGTCATAACAACAAAAAAGCGCATCTCTTTCCTGTAAAAAAAACTCTCCAAAAGCAAGTCGTCACGTCCAAAACTAAAATGTTCTAACAACTACTAGAGGCCTGGAAATCTCAGGCAAGAAAGTGTGTTCCACTACTTAATTTATTTCCTTGATCTTCACCCCAAATTGTGGAATAATGACACTTTTCAGGAGGAACACTGCTGTGAATGATCTGATGAAAATGTTGGTATTTTTTTCCCCTGAAACAGTGAACGTTAGCAGCCGCAGCTTAAAAAAAATAAATCTTAAAGACATTATTGAATTTGGCATTATGTGAGAATAATGCCAAAACTGCTGTTTTCGTAACTTCTATCAAGTTAAAATTGTCCATCTTTGCATACTTCTGCAGCAGGAAAAACATTTGGAGTAGCTCAACTTGACACATATAAGCTTGTCCGTTACTACATAAAGCCAATGACAATCCTTTATGAAGTGCTCTGGGCATGACTGAAAGAATCAGAAGTACAGAACTAGATTGAATAGCTCTATTTAATAAACTCCCAATTCCTCATATGAGACTCCGAACTTGAAATATAACAGTCTTTTATTTCAATTTTTATGTTGGAGTAAGACATTAACATTCAGAACTCCGGAATAATGACAGCTTTGAAAGAAAAAACAACCAAGCAACCCCAAACACCTGCTTTACTGTCTGCCTTAACGACAGCAAAAATAATGAGTCAGAAATTTGCAAGTGAGTCACAAGAACAAGTTCCAGCCAGCCCACAGAAGGCAATACCGTTAATGCTCTTTACAGTGCATGTGCACAAGACATTTTGTTAATAAACTGTCAAAGATCACAAGATATTTTCAGGAGAATTTAGCCTCTCTCTGTTTTTTATTGATTTTTTGAGAATATTTTCAAGTGAAATTTCAATATGGCAAGAGAATAATATTTCTCTGCAGGAGTAAATATAAAATGAAAAATCCATTTCTCACAGAATAAGTATAAATTACCAGCTAAGGGTGCCTACTGCAGAAAAATAAAGGTAATTTAATTCCTGCTTAAGCATTTAATTTACTCCAGAATTTATACAATACTTATTTTCTCTTTCCATGAAACAACCAATGAACCTTTTACCACGTGCGCAATCACAGGTCTGTCCTGCTGGAAAGCCCCTTACGACATCATTATATCCAAAGCCCTGCACTGAGATCTGATCAAATACACTGACGCACTCTACCATCTATTTTTAAACTGTTCCTATAAACCTCAAATGAAGGAAATGTCGCTGATTCCCAGAGATGTTCTGTTGTATTTAACCACCTTAATAATTTTTAAACATACCACCTTATTTTTCATGCAAATTAGAATTAAAAAAAACCAACAAAACAAACCGGAGGACCTGGAACTTAGAAATCATTTGGAGGATCTGTTCTAAAATACGTGAAGAAAGGGGAACTCTAAGCCTTGTCAAAACTCGCTTTGGTTTATACTTCCTAGCTATTAATATTTATTAACAACTACAAAAAAGAAAAATGTAACAGAGAGAGGGCAGCTATTTTAAAGGAAATCAAGTGCAATCATTATGTAAGTACTCATAAGTGTCCTGACATCCATTCCAGTTTCTGAAAGTCATTCCAATAAGCTCACTAAAACACAGCAAGTTTAAACAAACAGGGGCACGGCAGGTACTATAAGACAGTCCTGTCAAATTCCACGATACACAGTATTCTCCACAAGGCTCACCTGTTGAAATAGTGTCAGAACATTTACTTTCTGATATACACAAGTTTCTAGCCTTCAGGGTTTCAGAGAACAGCCAGAAACCAAACAAACTTCGAAGGCTCAGAAAATAAGTGAAAACTGGCCAAAATGCATGGTTAAAAATCATGCCACATGTCCTAGGGGAAGGGGGAAGAGATAACTGTATGCATTCATCGGTTTTGAGAAACAACTGGAAATACAAAGAAGAAAAGCTCAGTGGGGGAACTTCATATGCTCACTTTTGGTTAATGTTTGAAGATCTTCAACAGACGGAGGTCCATTTTTCTTCTCATAAGGAATGACGGTTGTTAAGTACTGCCAAATAAAAAACAGAGTTACCTGACAGTCCTTTCATGCAATTCATGTTGCCTACATTTTACTTTGCAAAAAACTGCAGTAATGGAATTTGCTAGCCACAAATAAAAGCTTTTCAAAAGATCTTACTTAACCAGACATTAAGATTCTACCTTTCCTATCCAAAAGCTTTTATCACAAAAGCCAACTTTTTTCCCCCCAAATTATGTGACCACTTTACAAGTCATGCAGCTAAACACTAACGCAAAGTATTTAAAAAAATCAGAGCAGTAAAATCTTTCTTTTTCTCCCCTGAGAAGTCAACCAGAAGACCCTTTATTTAAAGCACTTCTTAAATACAAGCTGGAACACTCACAACCTTCCCACTCACTATCTCCCCTCAAACATGACTGTAAATGCAGATAAACTATTTTCAAACTTGCTCTAAATACTTAAAAAAAAAAGTGTTGACTAACATACTAGTGCCACCACTTACATGCAAAATAAGAAACTAATTATTTTCAGGAATTACATTTAAAAAAATGGTAATTTTCCAGGTAAATATTGATGTTGCCTTCAAGTAACTTGGGAAAACTGGTAACAAGTCAGCTTTTTAAAGGATTCCAGAGCACAACTGATACAGGCTACGGGGGTGCCTTAAGTAAGGCATTCACGTTTGTAGAAGTATTCTAACAAGTATTTTGGAAAATAATTTTAAAAAAAATAAATCTTCAAACGCTGCATACGCTATTTGAACAACCTGAAAAAGGACATAGGATTTTCTTGGTGCCTCGTTAACTCTTACTGAGAATGTGAAACATTCCAAGGATTTTGACAGATCAGAGAATATCGCCCAGTCACAGCTCCAAAGGTGATCTTAGTCCTCTGTACAAAGAAAATCACACTGCCTCACTGCTAGGCGAAAATGAAAACAGACAAATCCGACCTTCTGACACAATACATTTCCAACCAAAACTATCTTTTGGAGCACAAATCAGAGCATTTTGGGGCCCTCCCTGATCTGCGCTCCCCACCCCTAAGCCTAATTAAACATAAGATTCCATCATTTGGATCTTGATTTAAATTCTCAGTTTTAGTAGTCCAGCGTGCTAACAGATCGTTTCAAAACAACTCCATGTTTGTTCTGTTTACTTTTTACTGAAGTCTTTAATTTTTGTCAGCTTAAAAAAAAAACACAATAAAAGGCAAACATTTTCTTAAGTCCTTCAGGATTTTTATACCTGCAGTGCAATCAAGATTTATTTTCAGATCCTTTAAGAAACTCTTGTTGCTCTTTCATTTAAAGCAATTCTCTCTCTCATCAACTAGAGAGAAAGGAGGATCTCCATGTAACAATCAGAAAACACACTGTACACCAGGCCTCCTCCTCTCTTAGCAGCAGCACTTCAGCAAGAGTCAAGTGTCCTTCCAACCTGGCAGAAGAAGATTTAGCGCTACCAAGTGCAGCTAGAACTGTCACCACATTTAGGGCGGCACCACGCACCTCCCACTCAACCACCTCCTCTGCCTAAAAGCCAAAGAAGCTCAGCTCCGTGTCACCTTGGGGAACCACTTGTCCAGCATGAGCCGACACCTTGCCAAGGCTTTCTGTGCACACATGGCTTCTTCTTCCTCCCTCTGCCTTTCGCATTGTCTCACATGCACTTAGCACACCAGAGGAAAGTCTGCAACGCTTCTTAGGAAACAGTCAGACCTCAATTTCTTTTCCAGCAGGTATTATTAGAGAATTGCACTCTTAGGAAAATTCAAGGAATCAATGGCTGTTAAATCTGGAAGCATCAGAAGTGAAAGCAGGTCAACTATAGCTCAGAAATCAGATCTTCAGCTGTCATTTCCAGCCTTCAGAACTAATTTTATCCTTTATCTAAGACAATAAATTACTAGAACATGTCTCACTGGACCAAATACCAACACTCTCCATTTTCCTTCTCCTAGAAACTCCACCTTTCAATTTTCCTAATAATTAAAAAAGAATTAAAATAAAAATTAATTCTTTCTTAGTTTCCAGAATCATTGTTTTTCTCATCAATACTATGATGCTGTAACAGTAAGTCTCTATAATAGCAACACAAAAACTCATTCCCTGAACTGCTGTATGAAGGATAGCACCTTATGAAGACGAAGACGAAAAAAAATGAAGTGTAGCTTACTGACATGACCAAGTGTTAAGTCTACTGTGACCTCTACATTTTTGAAGCAGATTTGACGACATCATAAGGAGCAATTCCCACTGCAAATTGCAGTCACCTCAAAAAAGTGGTTGATAAAAAAATGAAGATGACTTCTATTCTGGAAATACATTTACACAGAGACTTACCAACATTTCACTTGCTTTTGTGTAGTTGGTGATTTTTTCCAACTGCATTATCAGATGGGAACAGGGAGTTCCCACCAGAAGTTTCTTTTTAAATAGTGAAAAATTTCAACTAATTTTCGCTTACGTATCAAACATCAAAACAAAAGGATAAGAATTTAAAAAAGGAAAGTATCCACTATCAGAGTAATACTACCCAGAAAATAGCAGAGGTGGTAAATACCATTAAAATTCAAGACTGAAAAAGAGTTCCGAAATAACTGTACAAACTTACAATAAATTTTATGTTGTGACTTTATGTGTATAACTTCTAGCTTCTAAGGTACACAAGAAATTGTTTGTCCTAACTTTTTTTTTAGAGCACAACTCCAGATCTAACTCTTGCCTGCTAGCAGAATACACCTGAATGTGAGCTTATAAATGAAAATACTCCCTGATAAAACACTCACATGAATATTCTGTGAGCAGCACTAAGCATCTGATACTTTTTTTTTTTTCCTTTGCAACTCATAACATGATGACTCCAATATTTTACAAGCAGGGCCAGGGCTGGATAATGTGACCAAAAAAACCCCCCAAAACCCAACAAAAAGACAAAACAAAAGACAAATGCTAGAGAAGAATGGATTTCCAGGACTAAATCAGAAAAGAGCTGGTCTCTTCTCTAATTTTTTCTCTTATTTTTTTAAGTCCTTGTTAATTCCATGATTGTCTTTAAGATACAGGAAGGGAAAAAACCCCAAAACCCTAACTCTGCTAACAAGGACACAGTGTAAAATAAATCAGGGGAAAAATATAATCAACACGAAGAACAACATTAACAAACTAACTCAAAGAATGACTGGAAGAGTTATCCAATCACTGTTATTGTTAATACATAATTACGCTACTTATGTCTAGCAAGTTAGAAGGCAGTAAAAAAAGGTGCGTTTGAATAGACACATGCATCTAAAAAGTCTTTCCACCAAAAGGAAGAGGGGCTGACATAGCTAAACATGTTCAGTTAATGAAGATATGATATTTCAAATAGCTAAAGATACAGAAAACCAATTAATTTATTATTAAACAATAAAGATAGCAAAGACAAAAACCCAACAGTTATTACTTTGCCAGTACCGAGATAATGTAGAGTGATAAAAACTGTTATGTAAGCTCTATGTGTGTTCCAGATCTCCAAAGACGGGAAGAAATAGTTCAGTCTATGTATTCATGAACTCTCATATATATAACCTGCTTGAGAAACAGGGTAAGTCTGTAACTTCTCATGAATCAAGAATGATTTGAGAGTTGTCGTTTTGCCTCCTGAACTCCTCTGCGCGATATTCCAGTTATCTTTCAGACAAAAGCCTGATCAGTTATGACTTCTAAACCAACAGGCAGTTTATTGCCTCTGTGGACTTCTCGTCAGGGTGGAAAAAAAAGTAAAAAAAAAAAAATCATCTAACTATCTAACATACTCCTCTGACACAACTGCATAAACTGTAATGGGTGGATATGCATTAAATAATGTGAAATACCAATACTTTCTAATGTGTTCCAAAAGCCTAAACAATAGCATTAAGTCTTAACACTTTAGCAAAATACAGAATGCATTTAATAAAATACATACTATAGTTCTGAAACAAACAATTAAGTATTACTTGCAAATAAAGTATAGAATATTTCTAGTTACGTATATATAACATCTGCAGTGATACCCACTACAGGGGGTCTTTGGGCTGTGTATTTCAAAGTTTAAATACTCAATGATATGCATTTTGTATCAGTAATCTGCACTGCACACATTTGGATGTTTTTAACATCATGCTGTTTTCAAAGGCAAAAAGGCATACAGCAGAGTCTACACATTTTCCAGACACTACTCTGTTTTTAGATATCTCAGCTCTGAACATGTGAAGACAAGTAAACAAAACCTTTTTTCAGTTCGAGATACTACCCAGGTCCTTAATGCTGAAGGTTGAAATACTATGTCTAACCTGACACATATTCTGCGACCGGATACTAGATTTTTACAGACATGCCATGTACTTGAGGCATCCATTATGCCAAAACAGACTTTTAGTCTGAGGTAAGATATAAGGGTTATTATTTCCGTGCATCAGGATATCGAGTCCCGACTGTCTCATGCTGTTGAGGAGAAAAAGAAACTGTAGGCTGATCAGAGTCTTAAGACAGGCAAAGAGTACAGACTCGAGTATTTTGTCCTATTTTTTCCTGTCTCAGCATCATCTTCAACTACTGTCAGTTTTCAAGAGCTCAGCAGGCAACGAATGAAGAAAAGAGAGAAGATAGCCCAGCACCTGTTTCTCTCCACCCGAGTTTCCAAACGTGTGGCGGAAGCCATTCTGTATGACATTTGAGATCCCTTCCATGCTGAAGCGCTAAAAGTAGTGAAAACATAGCAGAAGGAAAAAAGGGACAGAGAAAAGTTCAGAAAACTATTAATCAGCATTTATCAAGACTATAAAAGACGAATGACACACAAGCTTTACGATGCATTTCGGCACGCTTCTATATTTTCATTCACCTACTTCTTATAATTAAAATGCAAACCTTAAAATGCCAGTTACGCAGCATATCTACATAAAAAAAATTAATCAAACAAAATCTTCACACTGCGGACCCAATAAGAGAGACTTGCCTCATAAGGTTGTTTCAATTTGAAATGTAAAAAATTGATTTTTCAGATATTAAGCACCTCCTAGAAACACTGTTCAGAGATAGTTTTTTTCAGCTCTACCCCTTTAAAACATTTTATGCCTTATGCCTCCTTTTCCACAACTGAAGCAAGAATTAGTATTCCCCATTTTTTGGAATATGATAATATATACACAATTATTAAATAACACACCCATATTAATTTCAAGCTCCATTACATGGAATCCACATAAAGAAACATGTATATATGTCAAGGATAGTTTTTTCTTGAAGTTTGTAATCCTTTTTGCTTGCCTGAGAAGTAAAAAAAATCTTCAAGACAATTTTGATGTTTAGCACGAGATATAAAAATCAGCAAATGAGAAGAACATAAGAAGAAACTATCAAGCCGCTGACATAGGGCAGTATGATGAACGCACCTTAACACACTTACCTGAATGTACTTAAGATTTAAGGCAGAGGGAATAAAATGTGCTGCAATACAGCCTTCACTTGCTTTCTAAAGCACAATGAGGTCAGTAAATGGACATAGATGCCGTCAAAGCCATCTTAACTCTTTTAAGATAACCTACTTAAAGGAACGTGTATCTGCAAGCCCTGACTATTTTTAATTACTCCCCAGTTTGCCCTTGTGAGAGAGGTAGAAGTTTTAGAAGTCTCAGAAAGTGATATACCAAGAGACTGTATCAAGGACAAAGAATTAAAACCCCCATTTATTAAAATTCAACTATAGTATCTATAGGATAATTGATTTTCTTAAGAGTATGAAAACTTAACCCTGCTTCTAAGCTTAGTATTTAAATAAGCCTTCATTATAATTTCAATTAATAAAATCACCAATTCATACGTTATCCCCATGTGTTGTTGCCTGATACGTGTCAGGTGTCCCTGCCCATGACAGGACAGTTGGATTAAATGATCTCTAAGGTCCCTTCCAGCCTAGGCCATTCTATGATTCTATGATTATTAACAGAAATTAACTCTTCAAAAAGTTACTTGAACATACTATCTGCATGCACATTTTCTGCATTTCCTTAAAAAAAAGAAATATATAAGAAGAGTGTTGAAGGAAGGAAGCTTGCACCTCTTTCTGGACAAAGGCTCTTGAATCTGTAGTTGGTGATAGTGAAAGCTTATTTTCAAAGGAACCACACGTACGCAGCCTACAGTCTTACTTGGGAGCTAGTTTGTTGAATCCCTCTCAGAAATCAATCTGACACATCCATATCTTGAAGCAACAAAATACGAAAATGTTTTCCACACACTTACACTTGAAAGCATCAGTCAAGTCCCTAAACTTGAAACTAACCAGAAGAGCTTATGAACTGAGTTTCAAAGCCACCTAACTATTTTTCTTTCAAGGCAGAATATCATTTTTAATTTTGCCCATGACCAAGAACCAAAAAAGAATACACATGAACTTTTCATTGTGCTCTTACAAAGGGACAACCATTTCTACTCCAGACATCGGAGTTCCATCGCAGCTTGGCTATGCACACACCTTTCATTAGACAGACAAGATCGGAATTTTATTGGCCTTATATCACAGGTATGTTATTCTTGTAAGTGTAGAAAGAGATTCTGAAGAGTTAATATTTCATTACAAATGCTTATCCCTTACGTTTGAAAAACAAACCCCAAAAGCTTCTGATATCAAACTGAAGCATTCTTTCAGACTTAGCCAAGATCTATGATATATTAACCATATCTTCTGCATCCTCTAAGAAATAGTAAGAAATTTTAACATTAATATCCCACTTAACTAATTTAAAATTATACTAGACAAGTAAGACAGAAAAAAGTGCCCTGACAAGATAATAACCTAATTTCTTTCATTCTCTGCCTCCTACTACTCACATTCTGTTTGAAAGACATTTTTCCTGTTGTTGCTATGTTCTACTTTGGTTTTTCAAGAGATTCAGGGGAAAATGCTTTTTTTCTACCTAAAACCCAACATGATCAATAAATATCTGTACACCATCACCACCAATAATACTGGATTTCCTTCAAGACTAACAGTAGTAGACATATAGTAAAATTCACATAACGAAAGCAGAAGGATGAATGAGTTTGCCTACTGACAAATAGAACACACAGTACTACACCCAAAGCCCGTGTTTCTGGCAAGAAAGGTATGCTGATTCCAGGCCAATTTGCAAATGACAAAAAAAAAAAAATCTTTTTTGGAGTATGAGAAGAGTAAAATGTTACATGACCTCGTGAAAAAAGAATCTCAATAAGATGTGCCGAAGCCTTGTCTGCAAACGAAGGCAAGGAAGCTGGTGTACCAGATATCTTGCTATAACCTATGAGTATTATGTCCCATAGGGAAAAAACAAACAAAAAAATATTTCAAAAGTACAAATAGTTACAAAAATTTTCTTACTGTTCCAGGCATATGACCTCTTTCTTGTTTGCCATTCTGAGGACTACCATTTTTCAGCTTCTTTTTCTTCTTTGCTGTTTCTTTGTGTTCTCTCTGTTTGTTTTGTACTTCGATGAGGACAGAAATGAAGCTGTTTTTCACTTCCTTTTCAAATTCCAACTCGTCTCGTAGAGCCAACTGCTGTACCAGTTCCTCTGAATAATCCTTAATAGCAGTCTCAATTTCTTCTAGCAGTTCATTTAACTCAGCAACAGACAATCTTTTTACTCCTATAAATAGTTCATATAAAAAGTAATGTTAGGATTTCAAGCATGAAAATACTTGTGGGAATTACAAGAAAAAAAAATTGAAGTTTTTCAAAACCAAAAATTCAATTCTAAAACTACATAGAATAAAACAGTATTTCTAAAGGAATAAACATATCACAGAGGCAACTAGATTAGCAACAAAAAGATGGTTAAACTGTTATTTGTGAGAAATCTGAGACTATCTGCAAATACGACAAGCTCATTATATTTAAGGAAGGTAAAGTAAGTGTTAAACTTGTAGTATCAACACTTGTAATATCAGCTATTACTTTCCACCTGCGCTCACTGTTCAAAGTAAAAGGTCTCCATATTTTCTGACAAAACCAACACTGGCATTTCTGGAATCCTTGGATTTTTCACCTACAGCAATGCAGAAACCATACAAGTGAGGGAATTTGGGGATATTACAAAGGTTTTATTTTATGAATAAAAGTTTGTGCTAATCTTTTATGGTGGTATTTTTAGATGCGTTTGGTAGTAAAACCAACAAAATCCTCCAACTTGTCTAGGGATTGTAGTCAAAAGCATGGCCTTGTATTGCCTGAAGCAAGGACCTCAATCAAAATTAGTTGACAGGCTCCTTTCAGTCATAGAATCATTGAATGTTTGGGGTTGGAAGGGACCTCTAGAGATCATCTAGTCCAACATCCCTGCAAGGCAGGATCCCCTAGGGCAGGGCACACAGGAATGCATCCAGGCCGGTTTTGAAAGTCTCCAAAGAAGACCTTTCTGGGCAGCCTGTGCCAGTGCTCCATCATCCTCACAGTAAAGAAGTTTCTCCTCATGTTGAGGTGAAACTTCCTAGGTTCTAACTTAAACCCATAATTTCTTGTTCATTGCTGGGCACCACTGAAAAGAGATTGTCCTCCTCCTCCTGACACCCATCCCTCAGATATTTATATACATTAATAAGATCCCGTCTCAGGCACCTCCTTTCGAGGCTAAACAGCCCCAGTTCTCTCAGTCTCTCTTCGAAGGAGAGATGTTCAAGTCCCTTAATCATCCTTGCAGCTCTCTGTTGGACTCGTCTCCAGCTGGTCCCTGTCTCTCTTGAATTGGGGAGCCCAAAACTGGACACAGTATTCCAGGTGTGGTCTCACTAGGGCAGAGTAGAGGGGGAGGAGAACCTCCCTAGACCTGCTGGACACACTGTTCTTAATGCACCCCAGGATCCCATTGGCCCTCTTGGCCACAAGGGCACATTGCTGTCCCATAGACAACTTACTATCCACTAGGACTCCAAGGTCTTTCATGGGTTGCTTTCTAACAGGATGTCCCCTACTCTGTACTGGTGTCTGGTGTTATCCCTCCCCAGATGCAGGACTCTACACTTGTCCTTGTTGAACTTCATGAGGTTAACCAAGCATTAAGAGTTTTGAGAGTATGAGATGGAATTGATCAAAACTAAATCAGAAGCCTGTAACATGTTAGTATGGAAACAAAAAAGACCCTCTGGGTCTGCATTTTAAAGGTACTGCTAAGTCACATGTTACAGAGAGAGAAAGTTCGATCAAGAAGAGGCTTGCTTGGGTTAAGATTATGTTCTTTGGGGGCTGCTCTGCACTCCCAATTAAGTCTGACATACCTAGGAAGCTACTAAGTCCTAGCAGTTGCTATATCAAAGAACATCATTTTCATTAGCATTTGAGAAACCGCTGGTCCTAGTCACACAGAAGGGTACAATTTGTTTAAGGACACCGTACAGATATTCATAATTATTTAATTATTACATTGAATTAGTCTAGTAAATGTCATGCCTGCAAAAATGCTGTAAGGGAAGTGCCTATGGACAAGTGTTGAAAAATACAAGTAAGGCCACAAACTACAAGAAAAGTGTAACTCTCAGAAGCATCAAAGGTAATGGATGAAATGTGATCTTTCCTTCTCAAATTACAACAGGAGAAAATCATAGAATCATAGAATCATAGAAAGGCACAGGCTGGAAGGGACCTTAGAGATCATCTAGTCTAACCTCCCTGTCATTGGAGAAAGCTCCTTGTCACTCATTAAAGGAAAAGCAGTAAAATTTGTTAAGGCAATTCTCTGGCATGGAGCCAGTTTTTCAGAATAGCTTAGGCCTTAAACTCTGTTCAAGCACTGAAACAGTACCATATACTTAAGGATCTAGTGATCAAGTAGTCTGAACCATCGATTGCCTCCACTGTTGTTTAAACTATTCTAAGTACGTAGCATGCAGGTTATGGACTCTACATGTAACAACAATCTTGGCTGTGCTTGCAGTCACTGTACGTACCACAGCAGATCTTACCACAGCGGTAACTTTTTGCAAAGTCATCTCTGGTTGTCAGAAACAGCAAATAGCAATGACAACTCTAATGTTAGCAGAAGGAAGAAAGGTAAGTTCAGCAACAAGACTATCAAGCTGCAGAACAGGCCTTACAGTCTGTGAAACAGAGTATATTCTGTGGTAAAAATCAATATGAGTAAGTTCCATATGCATTCAGTACAAAGGACAGTCTAAAAAGCATAGTTTTGGTTTTGTGAAAGACTAGAGAAAGCACTCCCAACACTTAAGAATCAACTTCACAAGCGAAGAAACAACTGTTCCCAAAACACTCGTGCAGATTATCTGACTGCAATCCCGACTCATTCTAGATCTGCTGTCGTTACCAAAGCCTACAAAAGGGCTACACAGGAATTACTCAGCTGATGTAGGTGAGTGAAGACAGAGTAATTCAAATATAGAAGATCACTTGCGATCAGATCTTAGATATGTACGCTGACTCACCTGTGTAACCAGAGCACTAATACTTGTTTTTTCCTATCCAAGGAAAAGAAGCCAATAGAAGCTTTGATTTCCTGCTCTTAATCCTAAACATTAACACCTCTGACTTGTTTCATAAAAGCCAGGCAGTTTCTAGGAAAACCCTGCTACCATTTCATACAGATGCAGACTAATTCTGAAGCAGCTTCACACACACAAAAAGGTAGCAAGAGCTTTTCATAAAACAGTGACCTGCAAGACACGAAAGCAGATTCTGAGAAACTGGTGAAGCAAAGTTAAATTATCTGCCAAAGTAACTCAAGGCAAGTTTGGTCAAGGCTGATGTTTGAACCATAAAGATGCAATAGACAAGATGAACTCCTGAGGCAAAGCAAAATAAACATGATATGAAATACCAAGCAAGCTTGATTAGCGTCAAACCTAAGGACATATGGAGCTGTCAGAAAAACAGGAAGTCCTGCTGAGGAGGATACATTTTGCTTTCACATTCCTGAAATTTACAGGTCAAGACAGCTAAGAGCACCATCACGAGAATGGGATCTTCTCCATAAATCTGAAGTGTAGGAGAAATAGCACAGCACAAAAGGACAGCCAGTTTTCTGAACTTTCTACAGAATTTGTAATGCTGACCCACATACAGGAAATAAAACACCAAACTTTGTAAGAAGGACCAAAGCAGAAAGAACACATGGCAAATTCTGCATTCCTTTCACCTTCCAGAATTAGTTCTGACAAATAGACAGATGACACAAATTTCCAATGTGAAACTGATTAATCAGTTTCTTTTACACGCAATTCAACCTACTACAATTAAACTCTACATGCAATTTGTAATTTGTATAGGGAAGAACAGATGATTTCATTCGAATGGAAGATGATAAACTATTTTTTTTAACTTTTAAGCTTTTTCAAGAGGAAGAGGGAAAATATGCAAGGTCCTATGGAGGGGGGTGGGAAAGCAACAGTTGCCTTCTTTTTGTGTTACTGTATGTCCAGATACCTTGCAGGGACTCAAACACTACCGAAGAAACACCATTTTCTTTATTTACTGCATAGCTTTAAAGAACTTCAGCTAATCTTCTTAAATAAAATGCAGTGGCTTCAAGAAAGTGTCTCACTTTAAAATACAGAATAAAGTTTAACAAAAATTATCAACTTATCACTTTACCTATGAATGGTCCTCATTCCAGCAAAACAAGCTTCAGAGTATTTGCTTTAATTTGAAATGCTCTTTTTATTTTTATTCTACATTACAAAAGCTGACAAAGATAAGCCTTCTACTTACATTCTAAATCCAGAGCATTCTGAAAATATTTTTGAATGCAAATATTTCAAAAGAAGGACTTGCTGTAAATCAAACATGTGGCAAACTTACCCTTTTAACTATTTCCAATAACCCTAAGAGCAAAATACTAAATAAATATCACTTACTCTCTTCATAGCTGTTATTCGTACTGGATCTCTTGAGTGTCTGAATTTCCTGGGAAAGTAAGGAGAGTCGATCTGACTGGGTGGGTGTTTCATCATCTTCTGGATCAGGCGATTCCTGCATCATTTCCTCTATTTCTTCAATCACCTTCAAAAAATGAAAACCCTTATGAAAACCTTCCAGCATTAAGAGAAACAGCCTGCAACGTGAAGCAAAGCTGTTCAGAATTAAAGGTTTTTTTTTACTTTCAGTTAGCAATATGCTGCTGGATGAAACTAATACCAAGACTGGATGGAAGAGAAACAACAAAATCACACTGACATTTCCTCCCTGTCCTTGTTCTCTAATATGCTTGCTTTTTCCAGGTAAATTAGTGATCTCATAACAAGTGGTGTGTTATTTCTACAGTATGGTTTTGGTTAAGAAAACTGAATTGAAGAATGAGCCAAAATATCCTTCCTGAGTATTGAGCTGAAGGAAAACAACAATAAAATCTCCCTACTCATTTCACTACATTTCTCTAAGCAAAAAAAAAAAACCACAACAAAACCAGAACAAAACAAACCCCAAAACTTTGAACAGCCTCAAAATCTACTGCTTATGAGAAGTTTTATCATAGAATCATAGAACAATTCCGGTTGGAAAAGACCCTTGGGATCATCAAGTCCAACCACGAACTGATGAACTGATTCATCATAACTTGAAGCCAATTTGGATCCTGAACCAGACAGAAAGTATGAGAACAGAAATTCTGTGCATTGAGAGCTTATTTTCAGTATAGAAACCACCATATTTCTGCAGGCTAAATTATTAACTAAACAGCTGAATAAATAATACTTCAACTTCTACAGGTTTAAAGGCTGTAGACAGTGCCGAGGCGATTCAAGCAGTCATCGTAGTCTTAATAACAATATTTGTTACAGTTCACAGTTAACCATTTAAACAACAAGAAAATATATTCCTGTGTTTGCTTACTAAAGCGGGATCTTAACGGACAGCCATTAAATTACTAAAAAGAGCAATTTTTGAGATAACTTAAGTCAATCCATGGATTTGGAATGGAAGCATTCAGACACTAAGTAATTTCAAAGCTTAGTAAACAAACTGTTGATCTGCTGGCATTATTAGGGAAAAACCAAAGAATTCTCACCATGCAAAGATATGAATGGCCATACAGTCATGCTCTATAATACCACCAACATTCTGAAAGTATTTTTGCTGCTTAATACATATATTTAATTTAGTATTTCTGTCTAATTCATGGTAAGAAACATATAAAGATTTCAGAGACAGGACTGCTAATCTCACTTGAAACACTGGAATATTTTTCAAACCTGAATGACATAGTAATATCTCACATATTATTACGACCCTAAGTAGAAAATAATCAAGAAGCTTACCCACAGTGAACAGCAAGGAAGAAGAATGAAAAATAATTACAGACTAAAAGAAAATACCGCAGCGACAATGTCTTTTACCTGCTCTGCTGTGAAGAGTGGTTCATCATTGATGCATGAAACAATGATAGAATGCATATCCAGCTGTTCTCTCAGCTCTTCATCATCTGATAGGTCAAGGTTCAAGTTATCATTTACCTAGAAGGCATGAAAATGTGTATTTATACAAATATATGTACACACTTGTGTGTATTTATATAATACATGTACATACATAAAAAACAAAAGGGAAACTAACAGTGAATTTTAAGAATGAAACAGACTCCTTGCCCACAGTAATGGAACCAATGATTCTTGCTGTCAAATACCTGAAAACTGAAGTATTTGAACAACAGAAATGAAAACTGCAATTGGAGAAAGTTAAAATAGCTGTCAGTTGCTAAATACCCTCAGCATATAAAGGCCATATAAACAATGACATATGGATAACTGCATGGAAGGCAGCCAATGCAACGTAGATACTTAAACCAGAAAGGAAGATAGACATCTGTCAGTGTGGTGTGAAAATCCCTTTAGTTATGCAAACCTGTTATTTTTATGTGCTTTCATATTTCTATTTTTTCACATAATAAAGGGCCAAAACCCAAGGTGTTTTAAAGAAACAGGACATGGTTATCACTCCATGTTATTTTAAAAATATATTGTTGAATATCTCATGGTCTTTTCAAAAAACAGAAGTAACGCTGTCCACACACATCCCATCAAATTACACTCAGCCTTCAAAACCAAAGATTTATGTATAGTAAAAGAAAACACTTAATTCCCCTCCTTGATCAGTCAGGTATATTTTACTCTCACACAGTGACATATTCTAGCTTATTTACATAGCTTTTTGCTTTTTCTGCACTTTGTCTATTACTAGATTCCAGCCAAACAACCCTAGAAAAGTTCTTCAACCCCCAAAAGTTGCAACCCCTAACCTCTGACATTTTGAGTTCAATCACTTGTAACAGATCTTTGGTCTAATTTACAAGCATTATGACTAGCTGTATAAAGTCCTCGGTCTCACTATAACATTTTCAATTTTTCTACTAATTCTTCCAGTCTTCCCAGTTTCTTCAGAAACCCTAGAAGTTCTCAGATTCATTTTGAAGGTGCTATTGATATCTTTAGGCAGGTAGTCTATAACATGCAATTTGTATTTCTTCAGCCATCAGAATGAATGTCCACTTTTTTCCAGAACCAGAATTCAGATAACCATGCAGCAACTGGGATCCACTAAGAACATCTGTTTACCCACTGCACAGATACAACCCAGTTTTGACATTCTTTAATGTGCGCACTCCTCAAATCTTTTTTCCATGTATACAGGATTACGACAACAGCTATGGGATAGTAAGAAAGGATGACGGTTTATCTAGAGGGGGCCAGCCTCCCCTCCTGGTATCTCCAGAAACATTTTAAGAGCCTATCATAATATATTTTGATAATTTAGGCTAACAAACCACCTAAACCAGCCTAAGCTACAGCTGATGCCAAAAGGACCATCAGGCCTCCCACCCAGCTACATCCCATGATTGTTTCTGTCTGTGTACTCCTACCAGGGAATGACCTGCTTAAAAGTAATGTAACAAATTTACAATAAACAAGCAATTGCGCAATCCTCTTCCTTGTATGACTGTACAACACTTCCACCCAGCTAATTCTTTCACCATCACAGCCATATAAAAGTGTTCACAGATCTGTGAAGAAACAAAGATTAGATGAATCAGCCTCATTTACCTTCTATTTTTTTCCTGCCAAAATAGGAAGAGAAATACTTTAAGCATATTATTACTTTCAAATGCATCAAGAATGTGCTGCTTAGCTGTTAGTATTCATGGTAAGAAAGTTAAAACAAGCTACTAGCTGTCCATATGTGCTGTCACATATCCAGAAATACTGCTGACACACAGAGAAGTAGAGAAAAAGTATGTCAAACGCTCCCAGACAGATGGACTTTACACATCAAAAGGCATGCCAGGTGGAGTGAAAGCTGAAAAAAATTGAGATCTGTTTAACCCATGAACTCATTTTCCCTCAACTGGCAGCATACCTAAGATTCTTTCTAATTCAGCAACACCTCATCTTCTATGTCATTCCTTCACAACTTCCTGCAAAGAACTTACATATATGAAACATTTTTATATTGTACCTAGTCCCTCACCAAGAAATCCATCAGTCTTCCACTCCATTTTTCAGTCACACAACAAGGTCACAGCATGGTGGGTTCTAAGTCTTTTTAGCTTAAGCATAATCATTTATCAGAATTAGAACAAATACAAGTTAAATTCAAGGCATAATCATCAGACTCAAACTGAAGAAGTGAGTTCCAAATTGCCTCATCTCCCTGCTGATCCCCAAAGTACCCTCTTCAGCAGAACAATCTTGGTTCCGGTCAAAGTAAAAAGCAGCTGTGGATTACATAACAGATAGCAGAAGTCAAAGCATTACCCTATTCTCAGGTTACAAACACAGATATTTTTACGTTATCTCAACTTCACTATGTTTAAAAGATCAGCCATTCGTTTCCTCAGAAGACCTGGGAGAAGGGAATTCTTGCAAGCTTTTCTTCCTGAAGCGTTTTAATCCACTTTTAAGAAGATCAGAGGACAACCCTTTCTATAAACCTCTCTGAGGCTCTTCATTCCCTGCTTCCTCCCAAGACAACTACCCTACTTGTTAAATAAGAAAAACCAAAAACTCTTGCACTTTAGTGTATCCAGAGCCACCTTTCCTGCAGAAGCAGCCACCTGAGTCCCCACCTGACTGCAGCATAAGATGAACTTCAAAGCTCATACTGGATTTCCTCAATCAGAGTACTCCTGCCTCTCTTCCTCCCTTACCCAGAAGAATGTTCAACATGAAAGAGACAGCAGAAATATTTTACATTAAACACTTTCTCATCATAGAGTTTTTTCTATTGTGCGCTGGCTCTCATGAACATCCATCTAAAACTAACCCAGAATTATTCCAACCCAAGGAGATGCAAACATACATCAATGGTCGTTTGATTTTTTTAATTTTTAAAAACTTCTCATGTGTAATGCCAAGGACTAAAAATTTATTAACAATGCTCTTTTATACAAATTCATATTTTTTCCCTGTTGAATATAAAAGATCCAAAGAAAGTGTTTCTGCTGATAAGAACTTACCCCTTTTTCTGAAAGATTCAGTGTTGGCAAGTGCAAAGCTCTGGTGTGGGAAGATTTCCAGTCAACTGGCATTACGTTACCATAATTATCAGTCAAAGCATTCCAAATCCTAGAGAGAGGAATAAAGGAACAGAAATGCAAACCTTAAAACAAGCAGCAACTGATCAGCAGTAAACATACTTGTAACAATAGTATCTGTTTATCAACAACTGTTTTTTCCCTCCCTAAATACTCATCTACAATTTACTGACAATGTTTCTATAAAGTTTTTGGGGAAATGTTTTTGATAAACAGATTTTATCTCCTTTTTTAAATGAACAGTGCATGCACAGCAGTAAAATAAAACAATGTGATGATGAGACAGCTTCATTACTAATTATATAACCATACTCAAAATCTTTTTTGAGGGTGAGTCCTTTCTTTAATAAAGTTTGAGTTCAGCTAAAAATTCCATTCCAAGTGTCACTCCTGTTTTCCTTGCCTTTTGTACACTAAAATCACAAATTAGCAGAGGCTGAATAGAAAATTCCGAGCCAAATCGTTTTTATCTTTCTTCCTATTTATCACAGAAATTACACTAAAATTCTGCAAGAATTTAGATTCATCTGGAAGTACTCTTGCAGAGCTCAGCCCACCATTCTTGTGTATAGCTGGATCTTAACTGTGTATGCAGTGTACAACCTCTCTGCCTGTACTAGAGGCACGCATATGCAGCCCTATTCTGGTATACCGGTTCAATCCGAAACAGAGTAGCCCTATCCGCAGGTTGCGGCCTCAAGTCTGCCAACAAACCCTGTGGGTGTGTGTTTGGAGTGGTTGCCTAGCTAAGCTCAGAGGAGGTCAGAGGACTGGCCAAACCAGACCCCGAAGGGCAGGCAGAGCCTCATCACTGCCCCAAAAGGTCTCTCCTTTGTGGTTCTCCGAACTTACCTCACTGTCTAAAGAACAGATATTGAGTCTTTTGCTAACAGGGTCTCTTCTTCTTGTCTTAGAATATGACATGCAATCTAGTTACCTCAAAGTAAACCTGCAGCATTTTCACGTTAGGTAAGCTGGCTGAAATCTACTGTAAACTAACAAGTCTAAATACTTGTACAATAACGTTAACAACAGAAAGCAGCAACAGATCAGAAAGGCTCAGGGGAAAACAACAATTACCACAACTGCAGCTGAGATTTTCTTCTCCATCTGCTTTCCGTACTTTCCACGTTTAAATTTCAAACGCCTAAACGGTGGGCATTTCGCAAGAAGCCTGACAACCACCACTCT